CAGGTGGTACATACTATTCGAACTTTCAGATGGAGAGGATAATCGAAGCACTTCACTGGGATCTTGAATGCGGGTATCCAAAATGCACCAGACATCGATAGCAAAGCTTTCCAATGTTCTTACCAAACCTACCTGTTGTCCGATTTGCATCACTATCCAAACATTGTAGGAGGCAAGCTTGAAGGCGGTGCTAGGTATCGCACTGGGGCAACCATTATGATGGCTAATCACTAACATCTCGAAACGGCACAAATAGGCTAAGAATTCAGACAAAGGCGAAAGGATGACGAAAGTGAAGACGCCAAGGATAGCAAAAGTGAAACGCAGGAGTCTATGTATAAAAATAAACGTAAGGTTCGGAAGGGATGCATCACTTGAAATATCATTATTGTTTGAGACCATTGTTAAGAACGTGCAACAAATTATACTGATAGTTTGTTGCTACATTTCATTGGTTGTGCGAAGGCTGAGATCCTACCCGGGCGCCAAGACCGAAGCAGGTGGTTGTTTCAAAGGACTACCCCGAGCCATTTGGCTTGGAGTCTAGTGCGCAAAGCAGCAGAGCAGCGTCAGGAGCTACGTTCCCATCGTTGCCGGTGACCCATACAGGTTCGTACGCCATTTGATCCTATCGGAATCTGGAGCCCATGTACCCCATGGTAACTGCTATCCAAACAACCTTTCTTGACATGGTAGGACCTGCAGGAACACCAGTCCCAGCCAGTTAAACTTGTTGGGTCACTGCGATATTCAAGCACGACCACCAGGACAAGACAGAAGTTGTCGGCTGGACACATTTAGTTTCTTAGATCTGATCCCGGTAACTCAAATCAAATAATTGAAGTTCGCCGATGATTTATGTCTAATATCACATAAAATCGAAGCCTTACAGGTGAAAACCTACAAGCTGGCTCAAAACAGAACTTTAAGTGAAAATAGAGAAGACGGGGATGATGAAGATAACCAACCAACGAACAAAAACAAGTACCGATCACCATCAACGGGAGAAATTTAAGAGGTCACTTCCTTTACATATCTAAGAAATATCGTTTCAACTACAGGTGACAACACAGATGAGGATGTCAAAACCAAGAATGGAAAGGTAAGACAGGCCTTCATCACTCTGAAATCAGTTCGGAAGTCATCTGCACTCAGCATAAACAAAAAAATTCGGATTTCTAACACCAATGTTAAGCCAGTCAGTTCTAGTATATGGGCCAGAAACTTGGTGCACGTGTCACCAAAAGCATTTCCAACAGGTCACTGCAGACTTTTATCAACAGCTGCCACCTTCACTGGCTCCATGCTGAAGATCGAATTTTCGTCCAGAAAGGGTTAGGAACAAGGAACTCTGAGAACAAACCAATCATGAACCTACTGCTCAACAAATACGCCAAGGAAAATACGGATTGATGAGACACCCGCTAGGGAGACTGTTGAGTGACACTGCGCCGAATGCAGGTCATCGCTCAAGTGGAACCCAAACGGGGAAGGAAGAGCTGGAAATGTCTCTGAGGGTGGCATAGAGGAAATCGTGTGAGTTGCAGGAGACGATAGCTTATGGTTAATCGTGGAACCAGCTAGGGAACTGGAGAGAACAGTACAAAATGGAGATGTTCTGTTGAAGCTGTATATTCCACTCGGAACCCAAATGAATAATAATAATAATAACTGAGTTGCTTAGGTTGGCAACGAAATTTGAACCCGCGACCAATCTGCTTTAAACTGGTATACTTTATTAAAGTTATTACTAAAAAGTAATTCAATGATTTCTCGATAATAATCAATATCAAGTATAAAACAAAGGCAGAGTTAGCACATGCATCACACTTGAAAATCACACAACAAAGTAAATCCGTTTCCCACTTAGAGGCTTTTTCATCATTCAGGCTATGAGCCACACTTATTGTGTAAGGGTTAGTGATATCACAGCTTAGGTTTTTATCTAGAGAAAATAAATCTCTATCTCAATAATAACTACCGAATGAATATCGGGCAATTGTAATAAAAAGACGTAACTGATAGGCTCATTGATGCCATTACTCATTGGCGGTAGCATAAGATCACGAATAGATAGAAGGTTAGAACTCATGGGTTATTGAATTCCAAGCCAGAGGTCAAAAATAGTCAACGAGATTAACTGGTTTCGACCGTCGGTGATGTCATGGGTGTACACTCTTGAGAAGCCACAAACTACAATAGAACTACTGTCTAGCAATCGTACGTTTACCTACCACTTTACTGAGTACAAATACCATGTTCTGCTTAGTCTGTGCATGATTACTGAGCCTAAGATCCAAAAAGCTCGAGATGCTTTCGCTAACTTACGCCATCTCTGGCGTAGGCGTGACATCCGGCTATCAACCAAGGGACGTGTGTACTGCTCAACAGTTCGCTCCGTCCTTCTCTATGGCTCTGAAACATGGCCAATACGAGTTGAAGACATGAAAAAGTTGACTGCTTTTGATCATAGATGTCTACGATCTCTTTCTCACGTTAGGTGGTATAATAAGGTAAGCAATGTTGATGTTAGGCGTAGAGTGTTGGGCAAACAGGGAAAATCAATCGAAGAGGCTATGAAGTTACATAGATTGAGATGGTTAGGTCACGTGCTGCGCATGCCTAGCCATCGCCTCCCCCGACGGGCATTACTAGCTGATATAGGTGCAGGTTGGAAAAAAGTGGTGGCCAAACAAAAACATGGCATCAATCCATGAAATCTCTGACAGTTAAATTGAGTCAGGTAGGGACACGCAGACTTCCAGGTTGGGGCCCTCGGGACTCTAAGAATCAATGGCTGGAGACAATAGGTGACATGACTCAAAATCGTTGTCAATGGCTTACGCAGATTTATTCAGTCTCTGTAATCTTTCATATTCCTTTCTACCACTACTCATTCTGTTTCACCCTTATACTTGTCAAAACTCTATTGATTCTCTTCTTGTCTACCTTTGCGTGCTATTTGGAACATGGCAACTCGAAGTGCTGCACTTCGGTGCCAAGTTCTATGTTGAATCCAGACAGACAGACAAGTACCATGAAGAGCATTACAATTGAATATTTAGTACTTGAAATGAATAACTAGTTGACTTCAGAGTATGCCCAAACGACTAAGATCAATGTATTCATTATGAGTATGTAATAGATTAGTATCACTTAGATCACTTATGCACAATTTTACAACATAACATGAATCCCACTTTCATCAACCTCTGCGGAGGCTTATTTACATCAGAAGTACTAAAACCTTTTTAGTTTTATTCCTTTACCTCCCAAGTGGAATACAGGGCTTCAAGCTTGGGGTTTGAAGTTTCAGTAGGAGAGGTGTTTATTTCTTCTACGGGGTGATGTTCCTAGCCTCAAGCCAAACCTTCTATCATTACCGGTTTACTTACAGCTAAGAGGGGTTTAGAATTGCCTCGACTAAGGATGGAATCTCAGACCACGTGAGGCGTGATTAGTGAGTATACTACCACCGCAAGCGCTCCTGCATCAGGCGTTGAACCCGGGCTGCCTTGGAAAAAGACAAGAATCCTAACTGCTAGACCACATGGGACAAAATACCCCAATTGACAACGCCTTGCTGAGACCAGAACTCGGATTGCTGGATTCAAAGTCTAGAGTGCTAACCACTACATCACGACATACCAAAGGGCATAATATTATTCAGTAAACTGTTGACTATGATCTGAACAGTGTTCATTAGAAGAAAATAAACCCAAAATAACATAACACTACATACTACTGATTGACTGGTATGCGGGAGAAACCCATCAAGGAGAAACAATAGTAACACAGAAAAGCATGAGGATTCAAATCGATATGGGAGACTAAAAAAAGAGTTAGTGCATCTGCTCCACTGACAACGATTTTCAGCCATTTCACCATCAATCTACAGTAGTCATCGATTCTTACAGTCTCAAGGATTTTATCCAGGCAGTCTACACCTCCATATGTGACTGGCCAAAACAAACAGTCAAAGACTTCATGAACTGATGTCAGGTTTTTTTATGACTATCTGTAACATTGCGCAACGTGGAGGGTGATGGCTTGACATGCGTAACACATGTTCTAGCCTCTTCAATCTATGTAGCTTCACAACCCCATCGATTGAATTAACCTCCTTAACACCTTAACACCCAACCGATGCCTAATCTCAAAATCACCCACCCGAAGTTACTACTTAACACAGGAGATAGAATGCAAATGTTTGTGGTTAACGAAAAATAGTCTCTTCAACTCTTCTACCTTAAACAGCCTTGCCTTACAGTCATAGAGGAAGAGAAAGTTCAAACTGCTACTCAGTACAAAACTCATTTGATCGATAGCCGGATATCACTTCTACGACAGAGACGACACGAGTTGACAAACGCTAGGCAAACCTGAATAAAGTTCCATGCAAAGGTAAAAGTTCTCGAAGTGGGTGATGTGAAACAACTACATGACTATGCAGCGTAAATTTGGTAGAAAAGGCACGTGATATAATACAACAAGGGATGATGATCTAGATGTCACCATAAATTATGACTTAAAAACTACAACTCACTGTCATGCAGAAGCAGCTCACAGCTTTACATTCTTATGGACAATAAGAAGGGCTGTCCTAGAATCACCCGTGAAAAGTTTATCACTTTATATACATCACCGGTAAGATACAAACTAGGAAATTGCATCCAGCCCTTGTCGCAAAGAAGACTCATATTCTAAAATGAGTTCAAAGAAATGTTACACATACGACTAATTTATCGCACAAGGGATAACTTGACACGTTATATCGTTTCTCCTTATCATACCCAAAATCTGAATATACTAGATTCAATAGGATTTCGATATCTTATATTTTCTAAACAAACTTCACATTCGAAAATATGTGACTTGCGAGAATGAACAAACTGGAGTAATTAGTTATATATAATATATATATATATATATATATATATATATATCAAAAACCGCATGTCACCATATGTGACATCAGATCTATACAAAAGACTGCGAAATTCACTAGAACAAAAAGTCTACCAAAAGTAACCTAATAAATTTATTGGGAAATAAGTGATCAAAGTGAAAAGCAGAACCACACTGTCCCCAACAGCAGATACTGAGACTTTGAGTTTTATGGGGCAAAGTACAAAAAAAAATTAACCGGAATCAAAAATTAAATACAAATACCCTATAATTGTACCAAATAAAACCAGACAACGAAGGAAACAAGCATAAACAAAATGCAGTTACGGAATTTAGTATGATTAAATCTGATTGGAAGTTCAAGTTATTCAGCAGCTTTGTACTGGTTGACCCTTCCTACTCAACTGCTCCTCACAAATATCGTCAAGATCATGAGCTTCTAAGCAATGTTTAATTCCTTGTAACTGAGACTTTATGGCATCTCTTGAAGCAGCATATATCATTTTAGTCTTTATATTTGAACTTGTGGGAGTCCTAAACATATATTAATGAAACTTCAAAAACATACCAAACAATAAAAAACAAGGCAGTCCCTTTATTGGGATATTCATAATCATATACAGCATACCGACCCTCACCACTCTTCATAGCTTCGATTAAATCGTTCAAGAAATCACTATAAGTTGCATCTACAACAAGTTGTAATAGTAGCCCATCCTGGGTTTTCATCTACCTCGATCAGCTTGTCTTAAGATACGTATTTCTTCCTTTTCATGAATGTGAAACAAAATATAACGATGTCGTTTATTCATTTTCAGATCATTGAAGGCAACAACACATGAAGGGTGACATTTTATGCCAGAAGCCTGCAATGCAAACGACGGTTATTACACAAAATGTTACGGGAAATTGGCAACTCTTATCCTTATGTCAACTAACCATTTTACCTGGCGTTCAACTACAACTGAACTGCCCGCTGTAATAACTTGGAGCACCAACCGCACAATTGGAAACACTATAACATATTTTGAAACATCGCTTCTCGGTTTATAATTTTTCGTCTTTAATTCCTCACGGGGCTTGGAAGACTGTACTGCCTGTCCGTTATAAGCTATAATGTTATGACGCCTATTGAGAAGTAAGAGTTGGTATTGGTGTCTTTCGCCACTATATGGTACGGTATGGTACCTTTGGTACGGTATAATTCACTCTTACAGACTTTAGACGAATCATTTACCCCATGAAATATGTGAATTCCAGATAGTTCATTACCACCAGATTCTGATGATAAAGGATAGTAGTCGTTTGAAGTCTGCGTTAATCCCTAGAATACGTAACTCCATATGGATACAATTTCTACTCGGAAAAGATTACCAGTGCAGCCGATACTATTAATTGCTCCCCAGAATTTGATTAACCTCATTTTTCAAGACCACTAAAGTGGCATATAGTACTCCAGAATACTTAGTTAGAGCATTCATCACTGAACACTCGATTCATATCCTCAATGTCTAAGTCGATTGTTTAGAGGAGGGCTAGCGGCCAAGCATTCACGCGATTCAGTACGCTGTCGTGCTACTTCCAGTTGTTCATTCACGATCCCTAGCTAGTCCACCAATCATTCTCACAATACGATTGCAGTCCCAAAATGTACTTCGTATTTTGGATGATCAATTCAATGTTTTGCTTTGTCTTTGGTCTACTTGGAACGAATACTATAGAAGCTGTGGGTGGAAGATCGGGTGTTAGCATACATCGCACTGTCCGTGAAAGTCAACGCCCTCGGTCTCTAAACTGATGAATTTCATCTTTGTTAAACACACTGACGAATCCAGTAAGTTCGTCCTATTTTGTATCACTGACAGAGGTTCACAGTTCTTTGCAGTTATCCACACTCGGCTGCGAGAATTAGGTAAATGCGTCACTGTGCAAATGTCCAGCCCAGAGGTAAGTAACCCCTCTGAGATGCTCAAAGCAGTCCTCCTTAAGAGCTAGGATCTCCTGGTTGGCAGCTCCTTGATGAACTTTTTCACAGTGTCAAGTTTGGTGGTCATTCGACCGTGTGCATGTTGGCACGAATGAGGGAAATTATTGGCTAATGTTGGTTCGATGAGGAACTCTTTAGAGAGTTGTGCTTATCTGGGTCTCCACAAGCAGTAAAAACTGTGCCTGTGACACTCTAAAGTGCTGTTGTTGACGATTTAACCATTTCGGCTGGCGAAATTCTGGAAATAACACAATGTGCTCGGTCACGAAACAACCTTTAAATATTTGCACTGAAGTGACAGAGTTATACAGCTCCGTTAAGCGAGTACTTGGGTCAAACGGCCGACGCATTTCCTCTTATTATCGACAGAATTCCTCTCAACGTAGAAACCCACTTGGTCGTCCAATATACAAACCATGTTCATCTAAAAATCCTGACTGGTGTTGTTATAACAGTGCCAATGGCCAGGAAGCAAAATGATGCCGAAAAGCCTGTAGTTTTTGCAAAGACTGTATGAGTGGGAAGCTTTCTCGCCGGCGCGCATCAGTGGCAGCCAATGACGGTGACAGTAGCCGTCTGCCTAACACCCACGATGTAACCAACAAAACCCGGCACAAGTTTGAATCAGGTGCCGAAGCTATCATCTTTCCTGCTGTGGGAGAAGATTGACAGAAGGAACCTACCTTCAACCAACAGACTGAGAATGGGAAGCCTGTTGCAACGTTCGGTAAGAAATATGGCTGTCTGAACGTAGCCTTATGCAAACATTTTCAGTGGATTTCGCTTCATGCTGACGGCACAATGCCTATCATAGGAATGGACCCACATAACCATCATGATCTACTCGTAGATGTCTGATAGACGGTAACACTAGACTGTCGGTTATGGTCAATACCTACGAAGGTCATAGATTGTCGCTGGTTAAGAAAGAGGCGACCTTTGATCAAAATTTTCAGCCGGCTGTTGACAAGTACCCAGAGTTTACTTGCCTCTCCAATGAATTGCCGTGCACAACGAGAGATTTTATGCATCACATCACCACCTGAGGACAACCCATGACATCTAAAGTACGACGTCTTGTTCCCCGAAATTTCAGACTTGCTAGAAATGAAGTCTGTTCTCATTGATGTATCACTGATATACTTATTGGTAATCATTGAATCTAGGTACTATTATCCTCTATTTTATCTTAACTCCCCAGGACTCAGACAAAACTGAAACTTGCTGTTTTCATCCCTATCCTTCGTTCGCTTGAAGTCTCGTTGCTCAAATGAAATAGAAAAATACCACAAAACCAATGTTAGAGAAAAACTATATTTTCATCTAAAGTGTCCAAGGTAAGACCAATATGGTCAGCATAAAACATTGCGAATCTATATTGTCATTCCAAGGACGCTTTAGCTTGTTGTCGTGTTTATGGCAACGGTAAAGAATAGACACCAAAGTCAAATGGTCTTGAGTCAACCTATCAGATGGCTCAGCATTAAACATGATGTTTTAAATAATGTTCTTTGCTACTTTCACATGGATGTTACAATACCAGTAATACGACGACTAGTCCTCTTAGGCATTAACATTCATACACTCGAGTGGAAATGTTATTCGCAGCTATCATCATTAGGCTACATTCTTGATAAAGTCAATTGTACATCTGAATTAGTAGATCGCATTATTGGAGCTCATAAAAATTCTGTTGAAGGATTTTGGTTCCATCTAAAAAATGTATTATGATAGTAAACATTTCCCAATATGATACGTTATACAGCCACTTAAAATTTTGTATCGACATTGGTTTGACATATCTACAGACACTCTTATGAGAAACCGGGACCAGTTTTTACAGCATCTGAGAGACACATACCCCATACAGTTTAATCTTATTACACATATGTCTTATAAATACACTTATTTGGAATAAATGCCACTTTTTATCTAGAAGAATATAATTAGTAGGTTCAAGGCCATTTAAATTTGGCGTCCATTCTTCGTTGTTGCAGTGTTTATCCTCTAAATGTACTTCTTAGGATATTATGTCCTGAAATAGCCCATGATCACGTGATGAAATAGCAGGATATTCACTTCTAAGAAGAATCCACTCTGTGAAGTAAATAATATGCAAAACTATGCCAACAACCGCATTAAAAGCATAAGTAAGGCCGTACAGTCCACGGAAAATAACGACAGAACTTGCTCGCATATTACGCCAAGTCGCACTAAGATAAGAGAGCGATTGTAAGGCGCGCTTACAATCTCCTGGTAATAAGGGCAAAACACCGCAAGTCACCATAAAAAGATAAACCCACGGCCAATACCGTAGAACTCACAGCCTCTTCTTCTCAAATCCCATCATACTAACTCCACAAAACACGATACCAAATGAAAGACTTGTGACTTACAATCTCACTCTTAAATTAACCCCTCCACCCTTTATCATGAATCTGGATATGTCTCTGGATAGCCCTAAGACAGAAATTAATCCCTTTCGTAAGTCGAAAACATCCTCTCCTAACAGGACGTGACAGGTCAATGGAGTTCGTCAACAAAAAATTCCAAAATACACCACTTGTAACGAAAAATCCCCAACATTTTTAAACTCCCAAGAAGAATACACGCTGTAAGGAAGTAGCATTCGGAACTATGCCAACAACCAAATTAAAAACACAAATAAGGCTATACAGACCACGGACAATAACGACACAACCTACTCGCATACTATGCCAAGTCACACTAGTTGCTGGTGTAGCGACACCATCACGCAAAATAGTACAAATGGCAACACTCAGAGCTCAGTCATCAACCACTCTGGTTCTTCAGAGCATGACACACAAAGAAACTCGGCAGAATATACGGAACAAGTCCGTTGGGAATCAAACCACAGTGCAGCAATGCATATAACAACGACCCATGTAAAGTCACTTAGAATGTCCTCACACAAAAGTCAGATTAACACAGAGTTGTTAAGCCATTCGGAAACAGTGGATTCCGATCCACACTTGAGCCTGATTGACAAGCTTAAATACTTAAAAATACCGCTTCAACTCACAGCTTTACCCAATCTTTACTACTGCTAGATTGAACTTAAACTAGCTTGCGATGCTTGGAGCTTGGTAAAAAAAACCCAATAATCATTATAACTGAATCCTGGTGTCATTCCAATATACCAGACGAAGAGATAAGCACCGATGGGTACAAGCACTTTTGATGTGACAGGGACGGTAGTAAGGGAGGAGGCTGCCTAATGTACTTCCGGAACACACTTACTGTATTACAGCTAGAAAATAGGGAACTCAATGACATGCACGACACCCTATGGGTCAACGTACACTTCAAAAGTGCCACACTACTAATAGGATGTTCTGGAGCAAGTATCCACTCTTCTATACGAGCATTGGATTATATGTGGAGACTTCAACCTACCCGAAATCAACTGGGACAGGCCCAGCTAAGTAAGACAAACTCTTAGGTACACTGGAAATTTCTGGCTGGAAACAAACTGTCCTCACAAGAGGTGATAAAGTGCTGGACTTAATATTTTGTCACGATCTAAGCCCCCATCAATCTCAGTGTGTTCTTCGTTTCCGGGTAGCGACCACAAAACAGTGATGTGTGCACTGCAACTTCCACTAAGTAAAAATCCAGCTCATACATCCACTTCACAACAAGTAATATGTAGGAACTTGAGTAAGACAAATAGGGCCTTCGTAGAATCAATGCTAAGATCCTTTGAAAGAGAGAACACTTCACCTCTTATTACCACTTGAGAGCTCTGAGCATCTTCTACCATAACTCAAACACATGCTTAGATGATGCCTTTCCACTCCAAACCATAAAGGTTTCCCCACATACAAAGTAATTTATGAAACCAAAGGATCACGCGAAGTTGAAGAGATTCTCGAAAAGTTGCCTCAAATACCACGACTTAGGCACGCTGGGCTATTTACTTAACGTCCTTAGCTCCATCTAACTAGCTCGAGTTTCACATAAGGAAAACGAAGAACGCACCGCATTAGTCAGCCCTGCTAAATTGTATGGTCTCAAAAAAATCCTAAATAAGCGATTGGCTCACAAAAATCACAGCATTTCTCTCCTCATAGAAAAAAGTAGGCTATGCGCTGATTCTGCAGACATGTGTGATTTGTTC